TGGTTCTGACACCTTCCATCCCACGAATGAACTTGTAGCATCGTCCCATTTCACTTCTCCATCTCCGGGAGAGAGCCAATCATCCAAGTTGTCATCCACGTCCTCTTCAATTTGTTCATTAATAGCCGTTTCATCGTGTTCAAGATCAATCTGAGACCCAAAAGAATGTATACGACCATATACTCCGTCAGACAAGTGGCTGGAAGGGGAGACAACAACATCGGTTGTATAGGACGGCATATCATGTTAGTGTCCTTATAGACTGCTTAATACAACTTCAATTCCTAACAAGTTTTTTAAGACAGTTTTAAAATAAAACATCCTATTAATATTTTATTATGACATTATTTGAGAAATGTTTTGTCAAAGCAAATGTCCTATTAACTTGTTAGGATGCCCAAATATATCCTAACATCCTATTATAACACCTTTATATAAGACGTACAATTATTTGGTCGTATAAAGGAGTCTATTAGTGGGCTTTTTGGTTGGTTTTCCATTAAGTCCGGTATAGATAAAGCCATCTGTATGGACTAATCTGTCTGTCTATATAGATTTGGAAGTGTTTTGTTTGGAAGGGGTTTCTCATAGATGAAATGTGCATGTTTTTTTATTGGGAGGAACAGGTTTAGAAAAACTTTGGCTTTCTGAATAAGCCACTTTCTGTATCATTAAGCCACTACCAAACAGTCATGTATAGCTGACTAAATAAGCTGTGAGTCCCATTCAGCTGCTAACCAACGGGCCCTTAGATATCTTTGGTGTCCTATAAAGCCGATTTTGTTGTAGTGAGAAGATGGAGTTGAAGGAAGGGCATAATGGAGTTTACCTTGTTCCAAACTTCAATCATATTCTGAAGCTTCTCATTAGACACTCCAATCTGTTGAAGAACTTGCAACACGGACTCTTTTTGCTCATCACGATTGGGTGCACTCGAGTCTAATACATGCTGCATACGGTATGAAAATGAAATCAATTAAAAATGTTTAGCTACGAAACAAAATGCAGGTACCGCAAGAAGAGATGATCAAAAAGCAGTTCCTACCACAAGAAGATCAGCTTCAGCAACTTCTTCCAGAGTAGCATGAAACGCGTCGACTAACTGTAGGATTAATAGTTATAATGAGAAACAACAGTTGGTATGATTCTGTTTTTAATGAAAAGGAGTGGTTTCTCAGTTACCTGCACAGGCAAGTCCGATATAAATCCTACAGTGTCGCTAAGGAGCACCTTCTTCCTAAACATGAAATTACTCGGGGATAAGAAATAGATCTTGATCATATTATAAACCAAACCAAACCATCCCGGTATATCCCACCTGGGGGTGGGATCTCGGGTAGGATGTATGCACACCTGACACCACTACCCCAAAAAACTATCCAAGTATATCCCAACCAGGGTGGGGTCTGGTCCCCAAAGAGTAAAGCAACTTTTTTCCCTGAATGGGATTTGCAAAAGACTAAGGGGCTGTTTGGTTGGTTTCCGTTAACTCCTGTAAGGATAAAGTTGTATGTGTGGATTAATCTTTTTGTATAGTTGGAATGGTTGTTCTTTGGGATGGCTTGTTCATAGATGGAAGGAGTGTGCTTTTTAATTGGGAGGGGCATGTTTGGGAAAAAAAAAACTTGGCCTTATGTATAAAGCTCCCCCGGAAGCTTACTGAACAAGTGACTTTATATATCATTAAGCCATTACCATAGCTGACCAGACAAGTTGTGAGTCCTATTAAGCTCTTTAAGCTTCTAACAAACAGGCCCTAAGATTGACATACTGTAAAAGCTAAAAGACTAAGGTTGACATACAGTAAAGGGACCCACAAGTATGTGCATAGATAAGACATGAAACAGGGGCGGACCTATGTGGGAGCATATGGTGGCCCGTTCCCCCATAGTGGAAAAGAAATTACATTTCTCAAGGGTGCCACCGTAATGTTTCTATGTGTGCCCCTATATTTTTTTAGAACTAACCAGTGACATAAGTTTGTGATGGATGAATTGTTCTAAGTCGCCAAACTAAAATTTCTTGTTCGAAGGGGTGTGGTTCGATCCTGCTTTTAGGAAATTTCCCTTACAGCTTTCAATTTTGGGATCTTTATAGATTTTTTTTTAAATTGGAGGAAAGCGGTTGCGAGAGGAGTCGAACCCATGACCCTTCCTTATATGCAACCAACCAACCAACCAAGAAATCTATTATGATTTTGAAAAGAAAAAATATTGTATCTTTCACCCTTTGGTCAAATGGTGCCCACCGCTTAAAATATTTTCTAGGATCGCCGTTGACATGAGAGGCGGGAAAAAGCTAAAACACCCCTCTACTAAATTATGAATATGAATGAGATCAGCAAAAGGCAAGGAGACCATGATGGAAGGACTCTCATTTACCCTGATGGAAGAATAACATTCCGCACTTTAGTATCAACTGTTGCAAACATCCTGCACAAGATGATTAATTATGTAGATAACAGAAGGGCAAGAACGGAATTATGCATACGGAAGATAAGATTAGAGACATCAGATGACAGTGGATGACAGTCGTACCGATTGTCAGAAAAGAGGTAGGTATCTGAAAGAGCGCTAACTAACGTCGATTTCCCCTGGGAGAGAATCGTAAAGTCACAGTAAGCTGGTGAGTAGCATAGAGTCAAAGGGCAGGTCCATTTGAGAACCGTATATATTTTGAGAACCAACTACTTATGAATTATTCATGATGAACATCATGAATGATGAAAAAGCATGATGAAAGATATTCCTAAATATTTAGGTAATAGTTGGTTGTCACAGTGGTCAAAATATTTACGCTTCCTAAATGAACTTTACCCTGAGTAGGAAATCATATTCATTTATTTGTGAAATACACCTACAGCATTTGTGTATCCAACAATGGCAACAGTTGGCATGTCTTGACCGTGTGAGCCTCCACGCCTTTTACGAGAAGCACGTTGCAGAGCCCGGGTGCGACGTACCTCTTTTATTTCAGATAACAAGTGATTTCTCCGTTCTATGATTCTGAAATCTCAGTTCTATCACTTCACTTGTAAAACATGTGATAATAGCAAGATCATGTATTAAAGTCGAGCAGAAAACCTTCTTCGTTGAAGCTGAAGTTCTGTTTCTCCGGCACCACTTATGAACCCACGTCCACCGCTTCCTCTCCTATGCGTTATAATAATTCAAATTAAAAATGCCCCCAATTGAACAATAAATAATTGATTCAAAGATCTTTAAAAGAGAGTATTCAAATGTCAGTTTCATGGAAACAGTCGCTCTACTCTTTCGGGTAGAGGTTAGGTCGTGCATCTTACCCTCCCCAAACCCCACCTAGGTGGGATATAACTGGGTTTGTTTGGTTTGATTTATTCATATCTCTGCTTCATTGACAATAAATGTTATAGAAGAATCTACGCACCCTCTGGCACTAACAACTTCAGCTTCTCCAGGTGCACCAAATGTGAAGCGACCATCGCTACCACGTACACGAACAAGTCTGCTTCTCTTGTACATCAGAGCAGCTAACTCGGCCTATAAGATTCAAGATCATTAAGCCAAAATAACAATCTAAAAGAATGATCGATGTAAAGGCTAGGCCTTGGGGCTCCTCAAGGTAAGTTGGCAATTCGAGTCTCCTCAGGACCACTTGGGATTTTTCTTGTTATCTTCAAGGAGCCATGGAACTAGTCGAAGTGCATGCAAGCTCGCCGGACACCCACGGTTACCAAAAAAGAGAACGACCGACATAGAAAAAGGTAGCATACCTGCAGCTTTGCTTCCTTTGTCTGAGCATGCGCATGAAATATCTCAATGATGAGACCAACTCGATCTAGAACAGCTTTTCCCCATGCACGCTGCCATCAGTAGTATAACATTTCAGAAATACACTCATTTGGTACAAATCCGTTTCCTAGAATAAGATAAACTGATAAACTTTCCCTCTAAATCTATTCAGAAAAGAAAGAGATAAATATGGTATTCAACCACAATTCCCATCATCAAGGCACAATTACAGCAAGTATATGATATAAAACTTTCTTTAAAAGTAGCAAGTAACTTGGCTGTTTGCAATGAAAACATGCATGACTTACCTCTAAGTTTCTCTGTTGAATTCCAGTTAGAGTTCCATTCACAAATATTGCATCCACTCCACCCTGTCAAAAAAATATGCAACCATCTAAAATTCCAATATTGCATCGGAAACAAAAGAACTAGAAACGATATCACGTTAACACGACCCGTTACTTTTGAATCTTCAGCATTTAAGTGGCATTTGATATTGTCCACTGTCCCTGGTCCAAAGAAAGTATCTGCATCATCCAAAGCAAACAAAATAAGAAAACAGATAATTCCTAAGTTATACGAAAGAATCTATGCTATAACTTTGAAGGTCATATTTCAGCTTCAAGATTGATGGCTTCCTAATATTCTTTTTTAGATGAAGTAATAACTAAAATAAAATGGAAGACCATTACAAATAAACCAATGTCCATGGTAATTTGCAACAAAAATACATACAGTTTTACATATGATATCAGTACATTTGACCTCAGAATTCAAAGTGTATCATCTTTTTCAGGAAAGATTTAATCATATGCTAAAAATCTTGCAAACCTGCCCGAGTGATTCGATAAGCTGGGTTTTGCACAACAAGATGTGGGGGTAATTCTTTCTTTGCAAAGTCAGTATCGTAGTACCCATCTCGCTGTTCTTCAAGAGAATTGGCGAGGTTAAGAGCTTCATCGAGCTTGATCTTCAATATGGCATCGGGTCTAAAACGCGGTTGTACAACAAACAATCTTGGAGGGCCACCTGGATCTTTGTTGAACTCATCTGCATCTGCCTCCTCGTGTTTGTGTCGTGCCTGTAGATTGGTGAATAAGGAAGGGATGACCGAAGTCGAAGAAAGATTGGTTTTTCCACTGAGGGTTTGAGCGACGTATCTGAATGAAGCTCGAATCTGGTAAGCGGCTCTAAACATCTGTAAGATTTTTGCTCTTTAATTGAATCACAAGGGCTTTAGAAGAACAGGGGAAGGTTCCTAATAGGTCATGCCAACGACCAACTGTTTTGATGGAAATGCCAAGTGGGTGGTACTTAGATCTGCAATAGCAAAACATCACCATTGTATTATGCAGGCACAGACAAATAAATCCTAAAATACTGGAATAATCGGAATGGATTTTACTCGAAAAATGGATATTGAATGGCAAAAAGTTAGAGACCTGATACTAATTCACTTCTAGTTGAAAAAAAGGTGGACTTTTAAGATGAAGAATCTTATCTATTAGCCAATAAGAATGGGATAGCAGTTCCTATTTGCTACAAAATGGCAGAACGCAGTTGTTTTGAGGGATGTGAATAGATACATGACTATATAATGGCTGAAGTAGTAGGATTAAATTCTCTGCAAAAATCGACTTGCTACGATGAACTCCACTATGGCATAAGAATGAAATTCTTTTGGAAAACCCTCTCAATGAATGTGATTTAAGAAACATAGTGAAAGAATTGGTTGAATGTTGTACATTTGTTGAATCAACTGACAAGCTTTCAGTCAGTCTCTGAGTACCATGCTACACTTCTAAATACATGCACTTGGATAAAAACATTTCACCAATAATCTCCACATGAACATCGTCCTTCCTTAAAACAATGAAATCTGCGAGCATCTCTTACTGTAATCTCTCTACCAGTTAAACCAGATATGATCTTGATTGCATTATGGCAATCCCCACATATTCTCAGATTCTTCACCACAAATAGAGGTTCCCCATCTTTGGTTGATAGCAATCCAAAAACAATAGCTAGTTTCTCACTGTGACGCCCTAAGCTTGTCTCTTTTTCATCTTTCCCAATTCCATGATCTCTAACCGCAGCCCATTTCACATCTGGCACATATCCAACTTGCTTCATCTTCTTTAACAATTCTTCCCAGGACTTTGTAATTTCCTTCAACATAGGGTGGGAACTATCTTCTGCAACAAAGACATGTACCTTCTTGTTTATTTCAATCCAACTGCAACCTGGATTCTTCTTCACTCCACTGTTTCTCATAGACTTCCTGATCATTGCCACTTCTTCCCATTTGTCAGCCTTGCCATACATGTGTGCAAGCATGACGTATGGAGCTGCATTAGAAGGTTCTAGAAGAAGACACTGTTTTGCTGCCTTAACAGCTAACTCCAGATTACCATGGGTTTTACAGGCTCCAAGCAAAGCACCCCATCCTACAGTGCCAGGGTTGAATGGCATCGTCTCAATGAGTCTTTCGGCTTCCTCAAGTTTACCAGCTCGGCCGAAAAGGTCTATCATACATGAAAAGTGTTCTTCCTCTGGTTCTATACCATACTTATCGGTCATCAAACTAAAATACTTTCTTCCTTCCTCAACTTTTCCTGTGTGTGCACAGGCAGAGAGGATCGATACGAAGGTAATACTTGTAGGGGCTATATTTGCTTCAACCATGTGCTCAAAAAGATGCAATGCTTCCACTTGAAAGCCATGATAAGCATAACCTGCAATCAATGAGTTGAGCGTAACGGTATTGTGCTCTGGCATCAGATCAAACAATCGCCTGGCATCTTGCAAATTTCCACATTTAGAGTACATGGCAATCAGTGAGTTATTTACAGAGATTTTATTTGATGGGATATCAGATTTAAGTGCAAGACAATGAATCTGCTTTCCTTGAGTTGGTGAGGACAGATTAGAGCTTGCACTAATCACGCAGACAAAGGTGCAATCATCCGGGCGGTAGCCTTCCCGTTGCATTTGCCTAAAACAATAGAGAGCCTCTTCTGAGAGATCGTGATTCTGAGAATACCCAGAAACCATGGTGTTCCACAGAACCAAATCCGGTCCAATGATCTCTTCAAACACTTTCTTACAATCTGACATATCCCCGTTGCATTTCGCATACAAATCAATCAAGCCACTTCCCACGTGCGCATTCTGGTGGAAACCTTTCTTGATTAACTGACCATGAAACAAAAGCCCACCATGCAAATATTCCAGGCAGGTAAATGCTGTTAAGACACTGGCCAAAGTAAACATATCAATCCTTAACTCCATATGGACCATTTCCCGATACAATTCAAGTGCTCTTAGTCCTTCTCGATGCTGACTACATGCCACAATCATCGAATTCCATGTCACCTCATCTTTATTGCTACCCATATCATTAAAAATCCATTTTGCCTCATTCAAATGCCCGTTTTTGCTATAATATGTGATGAGACTATTATTCACCGAAGTATAAGCATTGAACCCACCCGAAATTGCCAACTTATGAAGCTGACCAATCAAACCAATATCTTTACAGGCAGCAGTCACAGCAGCCGAGAATGTAAAACCATCCATGTCAAAGCCCAACTTACGCATATCCATAAACAAGTGGAGAGCAGGCCGGGCTTCACCACGGTCGGCATAAGCTGAAATGAGGGTGTTGTAAGACACAAGGTCCGGTTGCGGAATTTGGTCGAACAGCTGGTGTGCAATGAGGGGTTGGGATTCTTTGGCATAGGCAGAGACAATAGTATTAAAAGAGAATACATTAGGATGTGGGATGACATCAAAGGCATTGCGGGCAGAAGAGAGACGACGGCATTTGGAGTAGAGGAGGATGAAGTGATTGGAATGGTAGGTGGAAGCAGGGATGAGGGCTTTGATGTAAAGGGTGTGAAGGGATTTTCCGATTAATAGGTCTCTCCGGGAAATGCATGTTTTAAGCAAATGGGTAAAATGTTGTGAAGGCCATGATGAAATTTGATTCATCTATAAAGCTTTTTTACACCAAAATTTTCGTATCTGTGTAAACTAGAGGCAGATTACTAGAGACTGAGTGACACAATTGAGCTTTAGTTGAATAATCTTAGTCAACCAGGATGAGAGAAAGTAAAAGGAAAAAAGAAAATTCACAATCTTTTATCTAAGAGCATATCAAATACATAGACTTGCAAATCAGAAAACCCCATATCTGATTCAACTTGTAATGGTGTCATGGAATACCATTGCCACATCTTTCGGAAATAAGACTCTCCGATACTCTCTGCAAAATCTCATATGCTAATCCATACTGAATCAAGAAACAGGTTATATTTAGAACAACATAGAATAGCATACAACTTCACCTAAGTCGGAAAAAACAGAAAACGAATAAAGAAAACCCTAATGAGTAACAAACAATAAGAATCGAGATGTTACATGTGAAGAAGACTACTATGCGTTGAAGAAACAAGGCGCTGAGTGAAGAAGATGAACCTTGAAAGAGGCGGTGAAAGACGAGAGAGAATGGAGAGAGGAGCATTAGTTCCCGGGCCCGGATCGGTCTGAACAGCCTTTTCTTGGGTCGGACTACTTACCCACGGACTAACCATCCTAATTTGTTTTTTCATATTCTTTTTAATACTTTCAAAAAAACTTATATAATGGATCAAAAATAACTTATAATAATATAATACAAAGTACATGATATAATTTACCTGGTAAGAGCTGACCGTAATAAGAGTCATTGTTCTCACTTATCGGGTAAGACTCTCGGTCATCATCTCGCTCTTACTGGGTAAGATTCTTGGTCATTATCATGTTCATTCGATAAGGTAATATAACTTGATAAACACTTATCCGAGTAAGTATTTGATAAACGACACCTAAGTCTACTCATTTTTTCAGAAATAGTTAATCGAAACCGCTTTCTGACGGATTGAACAGGTCGGGTCTAACAGATAGTCCCATCGTAAAAAACTCTAAAGAAGAGTTCTAAGATATTTGAAGAGTACCTCTCAAATCAATGGTCAAGACTCAAGAGCTAAATGGGCCAGAATTCAGGGCCCAAATTTATGGGCTATATATACATATTACATAAGAACAGTTGGGGGCTTGGGGCTGTTGGGTTTGGGCCACTTTGTAAGGCTAGTTTTTATGTTTTCATATGTAGGCTTGCAACCCATACTTTTTATTTAGGGGGGTGTTTGAGATTGCTTATAAAAACAACTTATTGACTTATTTCGATTTGACACCGGTAATAAGTATTTTTAAGTGTTTGGATAAACAACTTATATCGGTGTCAAATCGGTAATAAGGAGTTTTTGAAAAAGTTAAACATTTCTGACTTATAAATAAGTTGATAAGTGATTTTGTAGAAAAGCATAAGCTATTTCAAATAAGCAATCCCAAACACCCCCTTAATTTGTATTCTCTCTTTTACATAATTCATACATTTTTCAAGACCAAAATCTTGTTCTATAAAACTCCCTTCAAGGGTCATCCTCGCCAAATTCCATCTTCTTCCTATTAACGATCGTTGCAATTTTGTTGGGTTTGGGATCAATACTCCAAATATGATGTTGCTTCATATAGCTTTCGAACTACCAAACAGTAATAGCAATGATTGTTGAAGATTTTTTCAACATACGGTTTTTGTAAATAATACAGTTGAATAAGACATTATAACTATTGTTGTAGGATAAATGTGTCATCGTCAAAAGGATATGAGAATAATGATATATATATATATATATATATATATATATATATATAGCAATAGATATAGACATATTAGAGTTAGGGGTTGTTTGGCAGTTGCTGAATGATTTAGTGCAGAATAGTTAAGAGGTCAGAATGGATAAGAGGGTCAGAATGGTTAAGTGCTGAATGAAATAATGTTGTTTGGTAACTGTTCTCTGAATGACAATAAATTACCATTTTAACCCTCATCAAACAAAAACCCATTAATCCAAACCAACAGATATGCTTTTCCTTTAACTTCAAGTGATGGGTTCGATTCAGGTGATGGGTTCGATTTCAAACAACCAGGTATGCTTTTCCTTTAACTTCCCACTCCATCGAAGGGTCTTGACACGAACAGGGATGGTAGAGTTTGATTTAGGTTTTTGGGTTGGGTTTGATTCGCATACTATTAACTTACTGAGGTCGCTGGCGATGGAGACGATGGAGGTCGCCGACGATGGAGACGATGGAGGTCACCGGCGAAAACCGGCCGACATGGGGAAGGGGACGAAGGCGACGGGTTCAAGAGATCCAGAGATGGTGAAGATGATGACGGTCAAAACAGAGAGATCGTAGATAGGGGCTGTTTGTCGGCCGGTTGTCGTCGGTGACGGAAAATGGCAAGGAACAAGGGAGTGGAGACGGCAGTGGGTAGAGAGAGTACGAGGCGGCAGCGATCGTAGGTCTGGAGGAGGGGCTGTGAGCGATGTGTGAGGACGATGGAAGAGAGGGCAAATATGGAAAAAGAGAAGTCTGAATGGTTGAGAGACCCCTTAGATGCAAAATGGTTAAGAGGGAAAATGTAACCATTCAGAGCCTTATTTTTTTTGCCAAACACTCCTCACCTCTTAGCGATTAAGAGGTTGGCTCTTAATGTCACCATTAAGAGCCAAACAAACAGCCCCTTAGATTAGAATTATGAATCTCGTGCTTATCTCTTTGTAACCCTTCCCTCTTTAAAGGGATTATGATTAATGAGAATTAACCGTTTTTCGATTCTCTATGTAGATTGTTCTACAACAATTATTAGTTTTTATGTTGTTTTTGAACCACAGAGCTTTAAAAAAAAACTAGTAAGAATCTAGAAAGACAAATTATATGTAAGAAATAGCAAGAAGGGTTTTTTTTTATTAACCTGGATATCCAACCCGCTATGCTAGCCGACTAATCCCAGGACGACCACATGCTTTGCAGATAGCCCAGAGTCACCGCATTTGAACTTTCGTGGCCACAAGAGGATTTTTATTTCTTCTTGGATTTGAACCTGAGACCTTCTGGTACTTTTGACCTTTGGAGCCAAGCTCAAACTAATTAGGCACTACCCTTGTGGTTAAGAAGGGGTTTTATAAACTATTAATTTTTATGTATTAAATTATTATTTAATTTCCAAAAGTAACAACAAAATGGAAAGACCCTAGTTGCCAAATTCCACACAGGGGTAACATGTTTCCATATTTGTAAACAATACCAACAAAATATTAAGTGTCAAATTTGGCAACTTGCTACATTAACAAGTAGTAGGGTTGTATCAAAAGGACAAAATTGTCAAAACTGTCCCCTCCACAGGGCCGTTTCCTGAGTTTTAGCCCATAAATTGATGGTCCATTGGGTTTCATTGGGCCCATTTCATAATTAATCCAACCCACCATTTTTGAATTGTACATAAGAACGTGACAAAAATTGGTCCCCTTTAATTTTAATGACAAAAGGATCCAATGGCAAATGATGAGTCCTTTCTGTTTATCTGAAAACGGTTCACCAGATATCTGTTGTTAGAAACACCCAGTTGAGTTTGAAGGTCGTGAGGTATTTAGCTGCTCTGGCTGTCAAAACATCTTTTTGAAAGGTCACAACGCCCTTTTGTATTTTAACACTGGATTGTTGTTACAAACTTATCTGACATAATGAATAGTTTTTTGCAGAAGAGACATTTTCATGCATCATAGAGGGTCGTTGATGGGCCTACATAAATGGGATTTTGGGTACTGATATTTGAAAATAATAGACAAATAGATATCGAGGGACCTACAGAGATGAAGGAGAGGAAACAAATGGTCAAATTCGTGTCTTCAAGAGGGAGGAATGGATGAACATGGAGCGTCGTTGAGTTTGGCTTCTTGTAGTTAGGGAAATGGTCCCTCAAACATGGTCAGTGTTCACTACTGATATTTACATATGTATAGAAACGTTAATTTATATTTGTATTTCGTATACATAAATCGTATACGAAGATTATTTAGATATGCTATGAAAGATTATTTAGATATGCTATGAAGATTATTTGTATGAAATTTAATTGGAAATACCAAATAAATAAGTAAACATACAAAATATATTTGGTATAAAAACACATGATTTTTATATTATAAATTTGTTTTTGTTTTTCTAACATTTTATATGTTAGTATTTCATATGTTGCAAAATCCCATTATTTTATTTTTTTCAAGAAGACAAAATCATACAAGACTGATACCATGTTCTAGCCCATACAGCATTAATGTCTATTTGAGGAATTAAATGTGTACATTTAACATGAATATATATATATATATATATATATATATATATATATATATATAGGGGAGCTATCAAATGCAAACCACTCAATTTGTACAAACCGTGCAAACCG